AGACCCAGCTAACACGATCATTCTCCAAACCATCATGTAGTAATAATCCCCTCCTTCATATTTGATTATTGTAATAAATCTTTTTAACTAGCTACTCTGTCACACAGCAATGGTGCACATCTCCCCAATCCATCATCCAGCAGGACAAACACTGCAGAAATCAGGCGAGCCGCAAAGGTTGTTGAGGGGGCCTCATATATTTCGCCGGCAGCTGTCGAGTTTGCTCTATTTGCTTCTGCTTTGGAGTTTGAAATGCATTTTTTATTTTTTGTTCCCTCCTCCTCCTCCTCCCCCCGCCACCATTCTTTGTCTTCCACATTGCCAACGCGCAAACCAAGAATATTCCCTCCCTGTCTGAAAGCGTGATTACTCTGCAGAACTCTCTGTCCTCTATTACTGACCTCGCATCTTCCTGTCAAAGGAAATCAGACCAGACAAGGTGTTTCTTCATCCGGCCCGCCAGCGCACACACACACACACACACACACACATGCACTCTTGCACGTATCCCTTCGCCTTTGGTTCGGGAGTTTCAAAAGACCAATTTGATGAGGCTCACCCACCGTCTCGCGAGGAGACACATGCTCAACAAGGCGCTCTCGCATTTGTATGCACCGCGGGTTGACACGGGCCATTTCTCTCCGGCTTTCTCTCTGCCATCGACACGCAGCAGAAGGGGCCGATTATGTGTAAATTTTGGGAGACCGGAGGAGTGGGCGCCGTGCGGGATGCGCTCGCGTCCTTGAAAAGGTTCGGTTTTTGTTCAGAATTTACGACAAGAAATGGCACGACGAGACTCACGAATACGCTCTCAGGATAGGTTTGTGGAACTGTAGCGACAACATCACGGGCTCATGAACCGACGGGACCGACTTGTTTCATTAAAGAGAGATCTTTAGGTCAGGACCACGTGCCACTTTCAGAAGACAGTCAGTGCCGTGCTAAACGCTGTCATATGCTTTTACTTTCTCCTTTCCTTTTGTCTTCTTCCCTATTTTTCCTTTTCATTGTCTTGGAACTATTCTGTGTTCTGTCATGTCACACCAGAAACTTCCGACATATTTGCTGATTGATACAGCAGACTATAAAGAAGATGATACATGTCCTTTATGCGTTTTAACAAATACAAATCTGAAAAAGGCGCTTTGTATTGGTATCCGTCCCCTCTTTACTCCGGTACCCTTTGATGCAGCTGTTCTGTGAAGGCAGACAGATCAAGAATAAAGCTGAGATTGGGTTTATAGCAAGAGTAGGCTGTAAAAACAATCCTTCAGCAGAAAACTGTTCAATCCATGAGCCCAAAAGGTGGAGAAAGGAACAACTGAAAAGCTGCTAAGACTTGCTCACCATGCTGAAAAGTAGAGGTCATGGTAATCCTGGGGTAGTTATAGGGATCCACAGCTCAGGAGGAAGAAGCCAGAACCGAACATCTCGCTTTAGTGCACTCCGCAAGTCAGGTCGTCATGGAGGACTGGAAGGACGCATCTTTGTTGGACTGATTCAGAGTTTGCGACAGGTAACGTACGGAGCGGACAGGGACAAAGGTCCTCCTGTCCGATGACAACAAGCAGTGATCGAAAGACGGGGGGGGCGAGCTGTTTCCGGAGAATCCTCGAACGAAACCATTTAAAAGAAACCACAAAAGGCTTTACATCCCATCAGGTCGAAACAAAAACAATCATAAAGCCAAAGGTGAAATGAATTGATTTAGGCCTATCGATTTGTGTGGTGAATGGGAAAGACACAGTCCGGATCTAAACCCAATTAAAAACCTAAAAATTAAGATCACATCCCAATCGCACTGGACTGAGCCTGAGTTATTTTGCAAAAAAGCATTAGCAAGAATTTCAGTATTTACATGAATAAAGCTGATAGAGACAAAAACCCTGTAATTTTGTTTTTCCACCTCTCAGCTCAGCACATCCTATGAAGTCACAATTGAATACATTGAAGTTTGTGACACTCAAAAGGCAACAACGAAGCAACAATCTGCTCTCATGACTTGTGGTGGTGCGAGGACCTGAGGAGTGGCCCAAGGCGGCCTTCATTTTTGTCTTGAGGACTTATGGATGCTGAAAGAGTTTCAAAAGCGAGCCGTGGAGGACTGCGGTTTCCGCAAGCCTTTATTCTCCTTAAAACAAACGATTCCACTAATCAGGCTTTGATTGAACCAATTTGGGAGGCTCAGAGGGAGCGATAATCAGGTCTGTCAAGTGGTTTGTCGGCACAGCAATCCAAAACTCAGAAATAAGACAAATCAAGAGAATCATCGCTTCTGATTTTGACCAATCAGTCGAAACGGAGCGCTGAATCAACTGCAGATGAGACACCTGCAGCCAATCAAGGCGGTGGAATAAACTGTATAATTAGAGAGGAGAGAAAGGTCACTTGTTGGGATGGCATGCTAATTGCTTTTGCTGTGACTGCCCAGGAATGGGTGACGTAGTTTTTTTTGTTTTTTCTTTTTTTAACAGCTGAGTGAGACAAAAAGTTTGAACGCTTCACAAAAGCTGAAGTGATGACATTGTTCAGGTGATGTAACAGCAAAACATTGCACAGGTGCTCACAATGTAACGTGAACTCAGCATATAGAGTTATTAGGCAAGTGAATGCATCATCATCAAATCAAAAGATAAAAAGTCTGAATATTTTTTGTCGCAAAGTCTCGAAACAGCTGAAACTTTGAAGTTCTGGAAGCTTAATGCTCAGCGTCAAACATTAAATCCCTGATTTTGATGACACCAGAAAAGCAGCAAGTTGATTCTGGGATGCTTTGTGGACAAAATGAACCAATTGTCCCTTTGCACTGGCCTACACCGCTAGAAAAAGCACTGAGAAACTCTATGTTTTAAAATAGCATCCAAGACAGAAACGGGCAACGTCCAAAGAGTTCCTCGGCTCTCGAGAGAACGTGTAGCTAACACTTCCGACATACACTTCCTGTTAGCTCTCTGCAATGTCACAGCTCCGAACATTTCGATCGGACAGATCACATGTCATTTGAAGCAGCTTTGTGGTTTGTCAAAGTGTCACACTGTTTGCGACGAGTAGGAAAGCTTTCTTTTCTTTTCTCCCCAACAACACTGTAAACATCCCATCTCATCCTTGGGAAGTCGACGTCACGTATCATCTCGTTTCGTGAGTTGAATCAGGTATCCTCGTTGCAGCTTCTCAAGTTTGCCCTTTTGTTGAAATTTACCCGAACCAAATGGAAGCGGAGGTCAGTGTGATGCCTACGGCGTGGCTAGCTTGTGAGAAAGATGTGCGTAAAAAAAAAAAAAAAAGACTCAGAAATGGATCCGGCGGCAATAACCCCAAATCTCTCATAAAATCCACCAAAAACTGACTGAGAATTTAAAAAAATAGAAAGTTGTGGGGGGGAATAAAAAAATGACCTCCTTGAGATGCTTTGGGTTGACTCAAAACAGGATGAACATGGGAGAAAATTCTCAAACAGTTGCAACAATGTAATATCAGGGATTTTATAAACATCAATAGGCTCATTTTTGGTGTCGACCTGTAATTAAATCCATTTAATTGCCAGAGAAAAAACAAAAGACACACTGACATGCGAACATGACTTTTAAAAAAACAGAGGCTTTTGTGACCCGAGCGTAACTTAAGAGTTGCTCTCTCGGATAACAAACCTACGCGAGTGTTTAGCTACTCTTAGGAGGACTTGAGAATTTCCTTAGGTAAATTGAAATGCAAAATTAATTTGGGTCTTAAATTGCAGAGGCAGAAATGCATAAAAGATGAAAAAAAGCCACTTTCCCTTAATTCACAGTTTATTAAATTCCCAAAGAGAGGCAAGTATCTATAAAACCTCCATCTCTCTCAGGCAGAACCAAGTACTGACATATTCCATTTTAGTGCATAATAGAAATGAAATACAGGTTTTTGTGCGCGTGTGTGTGCATGCACACACACGCGCGCACACGGTTTCTTTCAAATGAGTTGTTCACTGGGACAGGCCGGCCAACCGGTTCCTCTGTAACTACACCACTGTTTTGCACAACAAGCGTCTGCCAGAGGCCACATGTATAATTGAACGGTTGGCTTGTCCACTGTCGAGAGAAGAGCTACCACATGACGAACCCATTTACAAATGTTAAATACAGGGTGCTGCTTTGATTCCAGCTCAGTTGATCGATTTCTAATCTACAATACATACACATAGTCCCAGCAGTGCTCCATCTGAACACCTAAATTACTCTTCTCTTTTTTTTTTTTTTTCCCTCAAACTCTTGTTTTTGTTTTTTTGTCTTCGTAAATCTCATATAGTCTCTGAGCAGTATTTATTCAGTGGTATGTACATTTAAAATGATTTTACATACAGTCAAACAACGTATATATTTTCAATCGACATCTTTATAAAACAAGTGCTGTCTTTGACGTAAAAAGTGCATTCCAGCTGGAAACCCAAACTCTTTCGCATCGTGACCTGTGAGGACGACGCGGCAGCCTACGGCGGGAGTCTCTGTGCGGACGCACCCCTACTGTTTAATTCAAAGATTTGTGGAGCGTTTTCCATTTCGGCAGTACAAGTGTTCAGCGAAGGAAGTGGTCGGCACCGATTCCCCCTCCCCCCTCTCGTTATCAGACATCATGCATGCTCAGTCCTCGGGGTGCGTACAGTGAGACGACGTAGGGCGGCTTTAAAGGTGCACAGGAAGTGGAACGGGAAAAGAAAACGGCGGGCTTCACCGGTGAAACTGTCCTGTAACTGAACCTCTAGCGTCCTGAAAAGTGAGGTGAATACTTGCACAGTGCTTTTGAAAAAGCATTTCTGACCCCTGAACCTTTTTCACATTTTGTCACTTCGCAACCACAAACCTCGATGTTTTTGGAATGGTAAAATAATGGTCAGTCTTTTTTTCTTTTTTTTGCCCACATCATCTTTTGGCATTAAAGATGTGTTGATTTTCTTTACAACATAAAAACAGACTTCGGTAATTATTTTGGTGGGACTTATTTTGTTGTTCGTTTGTGTGTGTTATGTTGTGCGTTTTGTCTTTGTCCTGAATGGATCCATTTGAATTTGTTGTCGGTCGATACTTCTGTTCGTCGGTCGGCAACGTTTGTTTTGTATGAACGAATTGGACAAATTAAAAAGAAAAACCGACACAAAGTGGTGCATAGTCGTAAAGCTGAAAGAATGGGATTTCGCGTTCTCTCTCTTTAGCTTCAGTTTATTCAACCCCAATTGGACATCCCTAAATAAAATCAAGTGGTTTGACTTCATAAGTCTCCTATAGAGTCAACATGTCACATTTAGTATCAGTAGGCCTTCTTTGACATTCTTCCCATCAACCAACACACAAGTAAACAAACACACACTGTTTAAACAGGTAGTATTCAGTGTAATCATCTCAGGTGTCCCAAATTGAACTATTTACACATTTGGGACAATCGGCGATCAAATGCAGTCTATTTTTACAAAACTGAAAATGTGTACTTTAGTTTGGGAGAATTTGAAGCTCCACCTCAAACACCAATGCCAATGTCTTTAGCCAAAGCACGATTAGACAAATGTTAGTGTTTGAAGCTATATATAAAGAGGGCACCCAATTTCAATTTACTTTTCTGGACAGAAAACTCACTATGGGCACACGTGACAGGCAGCATTAGCAAGGACAATAGCTTACGGGACAGAAAAGCACCCCAGAATTTGCACCATTCCTACTGTTGAACATGGCGCTGGCTGCATCATGCTGTGGAGATGCTTCTTCTAGCAAACTTGTAAAGGTTGTCGGAGTTCATGGAAGCATGGAAAATCTTTTAAACCCTTCCACTTTGTCGGTATGCACTACTTTGTGTTGCCGTGCGTGAAAGTTTCCTTAGGTTAGAAGTTTACAGTGTGACAAAATTTGAAAGATTCAAGAGAGAAAAAAAATATATACTACTTTTTGAAGGTAGTACTTTAAGTACAATCAATGGTTAACTGTATTCGGTCCTTTTTTCGTTGGGACGCGTCAGCGTGTGAAACCTCTGTAAACATATCAACACTCGACTACGAAAGGTTGAGACGGGGTGGTGGCGTTGGGGGAGCGGGCGGCAACATCCCTAAATGGTTTAAATTTTTCACAATGTCTGTTTTACTCGCCGGGCTCAGAGGAGGTTTGGAATCGTTTGGCGGGACTTAAATGATTCATCATTTTCATTTGGATTGGAGAAGCAAGCTGAATTATTCAACTTCTCGGCCCCAGCAGAAGGAATAAAAAGTAATAGTTCGCTGTACAGTCGCTTCCCTCATGAGATCGTTCCTGACGCTATACATTCCCGCCGTCCCGGCGCCTCTTCGTCCCAGAAACCCTTCCGGCCATTTTGTGTGTTTTTCCACTTTCCGACTCCGTCTGCGCGTCATTCCAAATACCAACACCGTCGCCTGTGCAGCACTACTTCCTGTTCTTCTCTTTAAATTGTCCCTGGGTATTTTGATTTCTACTCCTCATCTCTCCCTCTCCTTTTTTTTTGTCTTTATTTAATTCTTCACACTTAAGCTCACAAAGATGGGTGTGTCTGAATAATGCACTTGTTCTTACACAGCCAGACTTTCTCTTTCATGCAAACACACACATGCACGCACACACACACACACCCACACGCACACACACGCATACAACAGGTAGCATCTTTCTTTCTCCTTGTTTTCCTGCTAATTCTCATTCCATACGTGCGGGCTGAATGAAATCGAGTCTGGGATGTTTGGGTTGTTTTTCTTTGTCCAGAGCGTTTAACAAATTGTTGCTGCCCCGAGCCCATGCAGCCTCCGCATTGTCTCAGTATCTGTGCTCAACCATATCAGCGTTTCAACACTTATTGCTTTAAATTACATCAATCACTCCCTCTCCTGCCCTCACATTCTCCATCCTCCCTTGGCTCATTTTTCTCTGTCTCTTTTTATTACTTTGCCTCTTCATCTTTCTCTCCTTTAACTTCTCTTCACATTATTCTACCTCTGGTTGCCTTTTCATCACCTACCCTTCCCTACCGCCTCCTTTGCCCCCACTGATTTCCCGTTTTTTTTTTGTTTTGTTTTTCTTGCTCTCTCCTCAGTCTTTCCCTTCATCTCTTGCTTCCTCCACCTCCCTTTTCTCTGTTTTGTCAGACTCTTCCTTCTGCTCTCTCTCCTTTTTGGCAACTTCTTCAACTTTTTCTTGATCTTCTCGAGCTTTCTCTCTGTTTTTAAAGAGCTGGGCCAGTTTCTGGAACTGAGGGCCCCAGTCTTCGAGCCCCACGCCCCAATCCTCCTTCTCGCCGTCGCTCTCCAGTGAGCTGAGGGACCCGGCTCTGGATCCTGTCCCCTCCAGGCCGTACACCTGCACAGAGTCGTACGGCGGCTGAGAGGGGTCGAAAGTGACCTGGGCGAGACGCAGGCGTAGGAACTCACCCACCCTGAGTGCCAAGGAGGGGCCGCCGGGCCCCTGCGGCCCTCTCGTTGCCTCCATCCCAGGAACCCAGCCAGGCCCATAGCCCATCACTCCGCCTAGCGTTCCCCTCGGCTGCCCCGGGAAGGGTAAAAGCTGGGGGCTCATGTCCCTCCTGCCCAAAACGTACCCCCCTAAACCCATCTGCTCTCGCCAGTCCCCAATAAATCCAGCTGCCTCCGAGAAGACAGACGGCGTTCCAGTCAGCGGGATTCCTCCGTTCTCCCTGTCCGGTCTCGCCACCACAAAGTTGCTTCCCATTTCCAGTCCCCCTCTGCCCAGGCTGCTGGTGTAGTCCCTCTTTCCAGGCACCTCCCCCTGGTGGACAGTGGCGTAGTTGCGTCCGCCGACTGATTGTCCGTCTCTGGAAGCTTTCCCGTTTCCGACTCCTCGTCCCCGCTCCCCTCCTCCCCCTTCGACTCCTCCTCCTTCCCTGCTGGGCTCGTGTTCGGGTAGGCCGGGGCCGGTGCGCTGCGGGGACGGGCCGGAGCGGGAGGCCCTGCGCCCGGCCGTGGGGAGGGTCGCCGAGTCGCAAACCCAGCCTCCGACGGCGTGACCCGGACCCATCAGAGAGCCAGAGCGGGTCATAACGAGGCTGTGCTCCCTGGGCAACGTCTCTGACTGCACCTGGGGGAAACACAGAAAAAATGAACAAGAAATGAACGATAAAATAAGAAATGGAAGGGGGGAAGAGATGGAAGAGCAAGAAAATAATGAAAGCGTCAAAGAACAGAAGGAAGGAGGGAAGCATGCAAAAGACGGAGAAACAGAAATTGAGTGATGAATTAATGCAAGCGGCTTTCTGCTAATAGAACAGGGAATGAAAAAAATATTAAAATGTGGGAACGCATATTTTAATATTCATCCAGAGTTGGGGGGGTAAAAAAAACATCAATCAATTTCCATCCTCTACCAGAATTTTGCTCGCTGCGTAGGGACCCTGTGGAAAAAGCTTGAGGAAACGACGATGGAAAAGGCCCGACATGATACAGAAACCCAACTCAAGCGAAGGGAGTAGAAGAGGAGCTGCACGAAGTCATGGATATTAACAGAAAAGCAGGATGAGCCAACAGTGAAAGGGTGATGAATCGGGGAGTGAACGAGAGATAGAGTATTTGAAAATTAAATAAAGCAGCGGAGAGCCTCGCCATGGCTTAATAAATAAAAGAAGACACAAAAATGTACAATGGGGCACGAATGTGCTGATATATCTGCACCATCAACTTCTCCCGCCATTGTCCAGCTCAGTTCTGCTGATTTACAGACACTAAAACGCTTTAAAGCGGGAGGACGGCAATTATCTACCGTATTAAGTTAAATGGAAACTTAACAATTCCTTTATATTTGCTTAATTACTTTCTAACATATTATTTGCTCACACAATAGAATAATTAAGTCACTCACTCAACTTTAATTCCAATTCCAACGCAGCCATCTCTCATTAGCCAAGGAAATTATTTTACATTTATTTTACGATTTGGCGCAACATCTACCTTTGTATTTTTTTCTTCCTTCTCATGATGTCTAGCTCTCCATCTGTTCACACATTTCGCTCCTCACACATGCATGATTTGCACCATGAACACGTGAGGATAATTAGGCGGGCCGTCTCAGTACGACCTGCGAGTCAGAACCAAAATGCATCTTGTAAACAGGTCGCTTCCTTTCAACGCATCCAAAAGTGGATTTATGATCCAGTATCAATCCAGTATCAGTTTTTATTTGTATAAGACCAAATTTACGTCAGTGTGAAAAGATGTTGCCAACTGTTACATTTTAAGAAGAGCTAATCAAGCGCAGAGGAAACTATAAAACGCAACAGTTTGTTAGTAGATGGTTTTATCGATCCTTTCTGCCACTATCTGCCCTTTGAGGACATTCGTGTCCTCAAAGGACATTCATGTGTCCTACGATAAGGTGAACCTAGAGACTTTTTTAGGTTTCTCTTTCAGACGTGTGTGATATTTAGGCTCCATCTTAAGTTGTAGACGCTTCTGCCAGGTGGTTCGTATTTTCCAAGCGATCCTTTCTGTATATTCCTTACCCAGTCCAGATCCTGATTGTGATTACTTTTGTCCTCACTGCTTCCGTCCATGCAGCTGCTGCCCGGTCCCGTCCCGCCTCCTCTCTCCTGACTGTCGCTGGTCCTCGGAGTCCCTCCGTCCGACGTGCTCACTCCGCTTTGCGGCGCCGTCCCGTCACGGCTGCCGGTGCGACTGCCCGTTCGGCTCCCCGTGCTGAGGTCTGTGGGCGCTACGTACACCGCCCCCGACTCCATCGGCCCGACCATGGCGCCTTGGTTCTGGATGACCAGGGAGTGGTCCGGCTGGGCTCCGGGAATGCGGTACGCCAGCTCCGCCAGGCCCGGATCGAAGGTTCCGCCTGGTGTACGGCGGAGAACCGGGAGGGTGTGGCTGCTGTAGCAGAGGCGACCGTAAAGGGGTCCACCTGGTGCCGAGTAGCTGTGGTCCACAGCTGGATTCTGGGGCCAGGCGTAGTTGCGACCTTTGTCTTGACCTTGCTGGGTGTAACGCCTGGAAAACAAACAAAATGTTGAAAGCTAGATTCTTTTACGGCTGAATCCATAACAATACAGATTGTTATAGTGGCGTGATCAATATCAACTGATGACACGTCTGATAGAATATCCAATAATTTCACAGACACGTGATCCAGAACCACATGGCATTCTGGGGGATGTAGGCAGAGGAAAGGCTTTAGCTACTCAACGTCTCATCACTAACTCACTCACTAACTAACTAACTAACTAACTAACTAACTCACTCACTCACTCACTCACTGGTTACCTAGCAACAACCTGTTGAGTGTATTGTGCAACAACAGTTTCAAGTTTTGCCACAATAAAAAAACAACAGCTTGCAGTGAGAACTAGCACACAGTTTGTCTTTACCATTTTGCCTTTTTGTTTTCAAATACTAAAAACAAAAAGCAAAGCAATAATTATCAATTTTGACTGATAATGCTTTTATGTTTTTCAGCTATTTCATCCTGTCCTACATAATTTGTTGTTGTTTTTTTTTAGCAATGTGCTATCTGATTTAAACCAAACAGGGATATTTTGATCTTACGACTGTCCTGTTTGTAATCTGATATAACATAATCCTGTGCAAGATCAGCCGCTATGAGAGCAAGTTACTGAAAATACCACGGAGCTTGAACTAACAGCAAACGTTGTGTGTTCAGATATGCTAATGCTAATGCTAAGGCAGTAAATTAACTGCTTTGCAAAAAAAAAAAATCAATCATAATTTGGGTAAAAATGCAAATCGCGGCTTCACAAAGTTTAATTGAATCGATTCTCAGGCATCGACAACAGTGAAACTTAAAAAGGAATTGTTGCAGTGATGTTGCACTGTATTTCACTAGGGTTTTTTTTTTCTAAATGTTGTGTCCATGTCGTATGAAGTGCCAAAAAAAAAAAAAAGAAGCAATTTTCGATAAACTGCAGGCACTCTTTGTACTTGTTTATGGCCTCTCCATATGGCCCGCGTGAATTCAGGAACTAATTATTAGTCCAAAGGCAATAACAACGTTTCACAGCAGCATCAAAGTGGGTGCAAACAGCCCTCTGATGTAGCGGGACACAAACGAGCTTCAACAGAAATGGACAGAACAAAGTGGTCTCCCGGGACCGCCGCGCTTGATGGCCTACTCTTTTGGCATTTTGATCAGGGATGGATTACGACCCGGGCAGCTGCGGCCCGACCGGTTGCTTCAGTGGATCGGTTGAGTCCTGGGTTTTCCACTGAGCGAGGCGAGGAGGGGTTGCTGAGGAAGCGATGTTTAACTCTCGTGCCCCCCGTTGGCGTGTAATGCGAGACCGGCTTTGAGGCTTTGATGGAACCCAACTTGTATAAACAACCCTCAGCCTACTCACACGTTCCTGCTGTCGAGCGTGCGATAGCCTCGAGAGCGGGAGCTGTGCGGCGCGCTCTGGAGCGCGGCGATGTCGAAGGCGGCCGTGTCGGCCTCCCCGCCGCCCTCGTCGTCGTAGGTGATGATGTTCTCGCGCACGTCGTCCTCCTCCAGCGGCGACAGGGAGTCCCTCTTCTGACGGCGCAGCGACAGCGACAGGGCGCTCACTGCTGCGGAGGGGACGATAATATTGAAGTAAAAAAAAAAGACAAAGAGAGAGAGCGAAAGAACGATGAACAACGAAGAAGAAGGTGCATCAAAAGTCACAGGGGAAATGAAGGAAAGCAGGTGGAGGACGGAGTGAGTGAGATTCATACGGACAAAGAGGTGAAATTCTCAAAGACAAAGAGAATGCAGACGAGGCCTTAGGTTAGAGGGCCGGTGTATCATATCAGCAGACCGCATGCCTCCACTCTGTAATTGACTTTGAGCTCTAACCGGGCAAACGGATACCGCACTCTCTCGTGACGCCATGACTCTTGTTCTATATTCTCCAAGCAAGGAGCTGCATTTGACCCTGAGCTGTGGCAATGAGCAAAGCGATGGAAGCTCATTAGCGCGTGTTCAGCTGGGATACCTGTGGCCACGTTTAGCCATTGTGCGCGGTTTCGTAATTTACAATGGAATCATAATTACCTTACTAACCGGGGAAATTTTTTTACTATGCATGTAACTGCAGGGCAACAATCAGATTGAAAAGAAAAAAAGAAAATGAATGGTTTCAATGTGTTTCGGTGTATTAAAAAAAATAGTTTTTCCAAAGAGAATGGAAATGCCTTGGCATGAAACTTTAAACACTTTTGAACTTTTAAACTAATTCAGAACTATTACTGAACCTCATTGTCATATTGAAACTTGTTTAAATCATTTTGTGTTTTCCAGCCAAAATTAAATATATACATGTATGCTGAAAAGAATTTTGATTTTATAATTTAACATCTTAAAATTGACTCTTTTAAGAGAGTTTTTCTGAAACTCCGCCTTCAGGAAGTCGTCACGACGTGGCTCCTCTATTAACGACGTTTTTTCCAGCGCTGCACTGAGACGTCGCTTGAACCATGAGCTCAGCTGACGCGCAGTTTTTCACGAGATGTTTGCTAATTGTTGCTGGCTAGTCTGAAGGAGCGGAGTGTGTGTATGGCTGCTCTGCAATGCAGACGTTCAAAGGCTTGGAGGAGGTTCGTCTTCGTCCTCCTATGTGTTTTGCACAGCTGGTTGCCAGGGGAGACTAAAGGCTTTCTCGCAAAAGAATCAAGGCAAAACTCCAGATGAAGGAATTACATTATAATATGATTAAAACCTTTAAAAAAATTGACATTTTACACATTATTATGATGATCATTTTGTAGAAAATTTGACAAAAGTGATGTGGGGCACATGAGCAGTAGTTGAGGGTGGCAGTAGAGTGGAGGTGGACCAGAACATCAGCATCCTGCTACGAAAATATGTCAATCTGTCAGCCGAGGCCAGTTTTCTAATACTTCTATGAATGCGCTGTCAACAGGAAGCAGGCACCCCCTTGTGTTGCGTCTCCTACTTGCTGCTGAGAAGAGAGAAACTGGGTTATGAGCTCTCCGCAAGTCTGCACTGAATATGATCCGAGCCCTGAATACCAGATCATTTATTTCTTCTTGACTGGTTAGAAAGCGGTGGCATAAGTAGGATGTCTTCTGCTGATGAGAGAAGTAACACTGGAAAATATCCAGCGAAAAGACAAAAATATCTTGTCTCCACGGAAGACACAAACGCAACTCATCTTTAGATTGAATCCAATCTATCAGAACCAAAACTTCACACTTTCACAAACACTCCCAGTCCAAAATCTGAAATCTTTCACGAAAACTAATAAACACTCTGAAACTCGCTTTTCAACAACTGGCCTAGATATGGGCATAGAAGCGATGCAATGCCTTAACAGCGTACCTGTCATGCTACTTCATTTAAAAGCCACATATAAGGAGAGCGTAAGGAGGTTCAGTAGAAATTTGACGACCTTCAGAGCGTGCAGGGTCAGAAGGTCAAATCCAGCCTCGTCTCCAGTGCGATACTGCACAGAATTACGCAGGTCCAACTTGATGTCGCCAATATTCTCTGTGCATCTTGTGGAGGCTGTTTTGTGCAAGTGATCAAAACTTAATCACGTAATTTATACAATATTTTAAGTAAAATAGCCAATCAAAAATCCTGAGCTCAGTCACTGGTGCCCAAAACTATTTATTATTTCCAAATATATTTTTAATTATCTGTCATCTACAGTGGTGCCGAAAAAGTATTTAATTGTTCATTTTCATAAAAACTTTATGTCAAACCAAGATCATTTAACAATAAAAAGATCAGAAACAGGGTCTGATTGCCAGCGTCTGCTTCCACTTTCAAGGGAAACAAACAGTTTGACCTTCTCCAAATCTCCTGTTATGATTTGGAAAATGGTTCAGGCTAATAATTCTCCAGCACGGCCTTATTTCCACTTCCGTCCCACCAGTCCACACTGACAGAAACTTACTTGCAAAATCCAAGACCCGGTCTTGGATTGAAGCATGTTTTATGCTGAGATCCCATTTAACGGATCCCAAAATTGGCACTGAAAGGACAGTGCACCAATGTCTCTGCTACACAAGCACCAATCAAATAAAATAGCGCACCGACCCGTGACGTGCCGCTCTAGAGGAACTGAGGCATAACAGTATGTCTTTGTTGCGACTGATTAATCAGTTAAGCGAACGTGCTAAATAAATCTGAAAATTTTACACGGTTGAAACATTAATTTCTTGCTTTGTTGCGATTGTTCACAGTTTGGCAATAGAAGCCTAGGGAGGGGGTTTAGCAAGAAGAGAACGACGGCACCGTTGCGTGTCCGTACGCGCGCTGATATCTCCTTGTGGGTGTCGTGTAGGCGGCTAAGCTGCTGCATCAAGTTAATCTGCTGCCGCGATATTGTCAGAAGTTGCTTTTATTTATTTTCTAACGGATAAAATCCACTGATCCGTGGGCAAGAAAATTATAAACCTCCATGATAGTATGTGGGCTCATTTTCACAACCTACTGCACATATTTTCTCACTGAAAGAGCGCTCTCAGAGGTCGTTAATGCAGGCCGAGTATCTTCTTAATCACCAGACACGATCCTCACGGCGCCAAAGCTTCTGTGAGGACTTTTGGCATTTCGTGTTCTGGTTTTAACGCGTTATAGCTTGACTGCGTGACTAAAAAATGACCCCGGCTATGGACAGTTCAGGCATTCACCTGTTGCGGTTCATTCCTCGGCTCCGTCAAAGCCACCCTCACTCACGCCATGTTACATCAGCGTTGTGATTGAACCGGCCACTGCCAGAATAATAACGGCTGCATCTCTGAGACTCAGCATTACGAGGCGGAGCAGTGACATTTGGTTATGCTGCTACAGAAAAACAAACAAACAAACAAACAAAAAAAACGGAGAACCCAGATAATCACTCGGTAATGCTACGTTAGCGCTGAACGGAGCTGACCTTGCCAAAAGAAATAAGTGGGCTAAACCTGAAAGAGAAAGCAAACCCGGCTATTGAGTGGCTGTGACTCAGAGAAATATTTACACTCCTGCTTTTATTGTTTCCTTATGCAGATTAAGCAGCCAGGGAGTAAAAATACAGCACTAAAACACCAGTTACTCAGCAGTTTTTATTAGATTTGCATTAAACTGAAAATTATATCTCTTTGCTTTATATATAACAATGAGTGCTGGAGTATAGTCATCAATGAGGTTATATAAGAAAAGGCTTTTCTTTTTTTTTTACTGGGAAATGATTAATGATACTCCAGCATTACAGCACTGCAGCTATTTTATTTAAAGAGATCTCATATAGAGTGTTTAAAACTACAAATACTTTTATTGTGAAAGGACAAAAAATCTCTTTAAATTTGTCTTTTCTTCCACTTTGGGCCAGTAAGGGTTAGCAACGTTTTTATTTGCAAAGTCATACAACTTTTTCTATACAATTTCTATAAACATTCTTCTTTTTTTTTTATGGGATTTTTGTGTCCATGTAATTCGGGAATGTCCAGATGACATTATGGTTTGAGGTATTTTAAGGAAACAGGGATTCCTTGTGTGATATGACGTGTAAATAAAAAGTGAATTAAAATAAACAAGCATTTAGGACCTGAACTTTGACTGATCTCTGGGTTTAACATCTAGAGATCTAAAGGTGTCACTTTCATCTGTACCTGCCAGTAGTCTTGAATTAGTTTCCCTCTGGGAAAGGCTTTAGCTGCTCAACATCTCATCACCAGCAAAGCAAGGTGAGCGGCATCAACTAACTCACCCGCTCACGTTGAGTTACCTAGCAACAACCTGTCGAGTGAATTGCGCAGCAGCAGTTTCAGGTTTCGCCGCTGTGCCTCAAAATTGCTTAAAACTAAAAATTTGGATGAAACAGAAAATGTCACGTCACCAGTTTGGCAGTATTTCAGATACTGAAAACCAAAACCTAATCATGAATTATCGATATGGACTGATATGAAACCCTTTGTTTCTCTGCCTTGTCATCCAGCTGCAGGAGATCCAAAGATGGGATTGACTAGAAAAGCTGCTTGGCTGCATCCTCATTCCCTTTTGTCACCAGGAATGGGACAAATTTCCAGCAAAACCCCAGCAAATACACACATTTTAAGCAGTTTCTGTCTGATTTAATGCATATTTCTGGTGTGTGCGGGTATCTGGTTTCAAATGCAACAAAATATTTACCCAGTAGCGTAGCAACACAAGCCAGGATAGCCAGCAGGGCGGCAGTGCTGAGCCCCGGGGAGGGCAGCATGGACTGCTGAGGCAAACACACTGCCTCTCTCTCCCAGTCCGAATCTCCCTCTGCCTGCTTGTCCTTCTCCTCGGCGCGGGCTCCTCCCCTCAGGCAGGGGCAGACAGACACGGTGACCGTCCCCGTGCTGGTGAGGCCCGACGTCCCGTCCCTGAGGACGAGCGGGACGTGCAGCGTCAAGGTGGAGGATGGGGAGCGGGATAACGGCTGGAGCTGGGACAGCAGCACCAGGCTGGCTGTGGGGCCTGCCGGGGAAATCGGACAGAAAGGAAGACGCGTTATTAATCAGCCTCTCGCGATTCTCCGTTTTCTGTGCTGTATCATGGCAGGAGGTCGCCTTCTGAAAACGGTGCCACACATACACCATGTCTTGTAAATGCACCCATTGTAGCTCTGGGTTTCCTGCTGGAAGGGAAACCTCCTCATCATTCTCAAGTCCTACACTCCAGCCATCTTTCAATTCGCTCTGTTTCATTTTCTCTTGTTCACCATAAAAATCTTGGCTGCTTTGCAGATTAATGTCTGCCTTTGCCCACCCTGCTAGTTTTGGTTAGCGATCACGTCTTGGTTAATTTGAAGTTGTAGCTATTTATTAGCTGCACTGGTTACCAAAATTTTTGGTAACCATGCTTCCAAATTCCATTTTTTTTTCTTTCGATTTGTCTTCCACTTCACAGTGGTGCACTACTTTTTGCTCCAAGACATTAAATCCCAGTAAAATACACTCACATTTGAGGCTGTGGGCACAAAACATAAAAGAATGCCAAGAGGTATGAAAACCTTTGTGAGAGGCTGAAGTTTCTGAAAGTACAAAAGCGACAACATCCGACATGTTCAAGTGTGTCTTGTATGCCATATGTAGCAAACCAGATATTGAGAATTTTGTATGCAATGTTTTTGCGATTGAAATGTCTCTTCTAACCTCCAACAAATAGATTTTTCTATGTGCATGGAAAATGTCGTTTGTTTTTAGATATTTCCATGTCAAATAACGTAGGCTGAAAGAACAAAAAATCCCCCCAAAAAAAAAAAAACAAACCCAGAATGCTGTGAGATAAAATAGGGCATGGATATTCTTTATCAACACGAATGTCACTGCAAAGTTGCACCAACTTGACAAGGGTGATTATCCTGAATCTTCTATGTTGATTGAAATCACAGATCAGATCTTTCTCTTTGGTAACAAAGCAAATAATGAGGCTCATTTTTGTGACAAGCTGTCCATATGGGAACGAAACATGATCTTATTGTTCCTCTGTTCTGCTGCTGGATGACACATCAAAGAGGACTTTGAAACCACACGTCAGTGGATTTATCCTCCTGATCCGGGATCCGTCACTGTGCTCTAATCAAGGCACAAAAAGCTGTTCAAAAAGGTTCCAGGCTTTGTATCGCAGAGACCCGGACGTCCCTGCGTGCCACTGACACTTAAATCAAACACGAGTTTAAGGCTTCGAATTTCAGAGATGAAATTGTTGCTAGCATGTAAACGATCATTTCAGACCTGCTCCTTTGTGTGGCTGAAATAAGACACTTTCATCCAGAGTTGTGAGGGTGCCGCTGGATGCATGAGACAACACACAGAATAGACAGAACTAAAGGCAACGTGGAGAGACCGGTTCACCTAAAATCCATGTTTTTGAACGGTAGATGGAAGCAGAAGCGCCTGGAGAGAATCGAGGTACGCACCCTGGCATCTCGCCGCAAGGCAACTCTGCCGACTTCTCCTCCACTGTGCAGCCAAGAAATGTGCACTTGTGGATGAAGCAACTCGTTTCCACACAACAACTCTTGGACTTTCCTATTTGATTATAAAAGTGAACGTAAATGTGGCTGGACGCTTTTATTCAGCTGAAAAACGGCACAGACTTCAACCCGCGCAAGGCTTTTCTTTTCTCCGTTGGACGTCTTACTTTTTTACTGAGAAAGTAAAAAGTAAGACGTTGCAAATAGGACTTCTGCAGGCAGAAGCGTGGATGTCGTAATGTGGTCAATCTATGCATGGAGGAAGTGCGACGCAGAGTTTTGAAGTCTGACAAAGGAGCAGATTTAGACATGTGGATGTCACCTCATCAAAAGTCAAGGCTACGGGGAAGAAGCCTTTACTGAACAAATTGACAAAATAAGAAAATGCAGCTATCATTTTTAGACTGTCTGGTGAACATTGATCAAGATGAAAGTCTTACATTTTGAATCTCACCACCCACTGGAACATAAACTACATCTACTACTGAAGGTGAAATAGTTTCTATAGTCCAGAGTTAAAAGGAATGTTAACATCGTTAAATTGGAGAAGCTAAGCAGCAGCTAGGCAAATGCTTAGCGTAACACTGAAGAGCAAGAGACTAAGAAAGGCTAATAGAAAGAGGACTAATTCCTAATGTCTGCTGAGATGAACTCAATTAAATTAATCCGTTTGGTCTTTTCGCGAGCGTTTCACAAAAACAGTAAGTAAGTGTGACAGAGGCGGGGAGATGAATGCAAGGGAGAAATAAGACGGCAAACCCGTAGATCAAACGCAGAAGAAAGATGGATAATAAGGCAGAAAAAAACCCCAAAGGAGTTGGTTGACGGATTGATGAAGATTCAGTGACAGAAAATGAGGAGAGAGCGTTTGAGCGAAACAGACAGATAAAATTACAAGGAAGGACATCGGAGTAAACGGCGACGGGAAAGAGAAAAAGAGAATGTCTGGGGAAAAAAGGGAAATAAAACATTTGGGACTTAGGGTCTTGCAAAGTGCAGAAAAGCTGTCCGTCTGCCCGAAAGACGGGGAAAGGGGTGGGGGGGGAGAGAAATAAAGAGAGAGAGCACCTGGGAGGTAAAGATTAAATACCTACCTCCGCTGTCTCTGACGCTGAAGTTGAGGGCGACGGCGGATTCTGGAGGGATGCTGAAATACACAGTGCTGTCGTTCCCTCCCTCATCTCTATCAATCGCCCGCAACACCTGCACCACCTGAAACAAAGCGATAGAGCACGGATGAGATTGAGTGAGGGGCGGGTGTGAATAAGCGCGTGTGTCTGTGTGAGAAGAAGGAACACATGGAGGGGGAAGAAAAAGAAGAACACCCTCCACCCCCCAAAAAGGAATGGAAAAGCACTTCACAGAGAGGCGCTTTTTGCGATGAGCCATTAGCTGATGTCAGCAGGAATCATAACAAGCCAATTAGTATGAAGACACAAGCGAGCAGTGCCTGATACACCAAATAAATAACAGCATCTGATGTGACTCAGCTTTCACAAATACAGTGAAGTGTGGCTTTCAATTTAGTAAGAGCATCTCCACTGGAAATGGTAACAAAGTTAATCTAGAAGATATCCCCCGCAGCCCACACGTGACGGGTAATTTCTTTTTAATCAAAAACTCTGCTTGTCGTTATGCAATATGATTTTTTTCTTTGCTTGTTTGTTTGTTTTTTGGAAGGAATGCTTTCGAGTGCAAGGCGGGAAAAGCAGGGCTTGAACGGAGCCGGATGCTCTCCGAGTGAGTCAGCGACTCGAGGCCTTAAGAGGACTCGTTTGCGTCGAGTCCCACTACGTTATCGGCGTCTGGTGTGAATATTCAGAGGCGTTTTGTCTAATGACTTGTCAAGCCGAGACGTGAGCACGCAACTTTGACAGCGGGAAAGGCGTCATAATCTTCTCGAGTCGTCTCCCACTCGCTCAAATAACAATACACGCCGACGCGGAACAACGAGGGCCGCGCATAAATCAGCGGCGGTGCCACAGAATCGCAGATTTAGTGGCGAAACGACAAAGACTCAAGCAGAGCGGTAAAAACAGCAGCCAAAACAACAGATGGGCCAAGACACCAAATTACAGCGTCGGAGCCGGCGTGGAATACAGAAGATGGAGGAGAAGACATAAAAACAGTGCGAGCGAAAGGCTGGCTTCCGTGGCGAGACTCAGGAGGGAAGACAAGATTTCTATAATTGAGATGGGTTCAAATACGGGAAACCGTGATGCGGAAAAATAGACAGGAAGACAAATAAAGCATGAGTGGACTGGAGGGAGACAGTCTGGGAGAAGGCTGGAGTTTAATTACGCCGGGAATAGCTGCAGCAATGTCAAGTTTGGTCATCCTATTTGATCAACTCCAATTACTTTTTGACCGCTTTCATATACAAAGACCTCATTTGGACGTCTTTGTAGTCCATTTTTTACTTTTCAACAAGAGTTTCATGTTACTTTTAAGCAGAAAGCATCGTCATCATTTTCACTTAAGAATTTCTTTTTCCTATTCTTTTGTCCTTTCTTGGCATTACAGGCATTCCGTAAAGCCAAGATGGTTGCCTACATGTGTCGGACCAAAGATATCCAAAGAGCGTGTTCAATTCAGACTTTTCACTTGCTTTCTTCTCTGGTGTGAGCGTCGACAAAAAGTGGAAAACACATTTAGATTGCCTTGGAAAGCCTGCATTTGCTGGGTCAACAAAATAATGTGCTTGTAATCCAGTTTTGAAACTGACTAAAACAATCTGGGAGAAGGTTGGAGTTACAAACAGGCTTGTAACGGCAAATCGGAGGGGTCACAGGTCATTGTCCAGTCCCGTTGTAAACAATCTTTACAGATCAGTTTACAACGGTTCTGCTCAACTGGCTGCAAACTTGCTTACCTGTTAAACTCCCTCGGGAATTTTTGAGCCGAGTTATTTTACCAAGCGTGAAAAGTTTGTTTAACTGCCTGGTGTTTCGGCACTATGGACAACACATGAGCGACTATTAAGTCATTAAAGTCCATCATGCAGCAATAACAACTTCAACTTGATTATAAACCCGCTGAGGGCAACAGCTGTTTGGAGTGTTCCCCGTTTTGAAAACTCATCAGGGTTATTTTTAAAGCAAATCACCTCTTTAGTCTTACATTTTCACATCATCTTCCTTTGTTGGATTTCAAAGATATAGCATGAGCTTGGAAATGTCTGCTCCCCCTAGGTTTTTTTTGTCCTTCTGTAAGTGAAGACAACATCTTTTTAACACCGAAACTGAAACAAAATAAAACAATAAAGAAACACTGCTATTTATTTACGCCGTTGTGACGCCACATAAACAAAATGCTGAAATGCCTCAAAGAATTTGCTGAATTATACCATGAATATATCAGCAGCATTTCCTAAAGTCGACACTGTATTTGTATTTAGAGCAAGTCAGGAAGGCGCAGCAAAAACAGGCAATCTGTGAACACATTATTAAGTCATTAAGAAGGGAATTAGATAAAAGCGCTGTGATGTTGTTTAGAATGTTATTAATTTCTCCTAAAAGAGAACATGAAGTATGTCAAAACAGCTCTGTATCAAATATGAAAGTGCACTATGCTCGTCTGCAGCCAAGTATAGAAGCATATAGGGTTTGGTGATACGGCGCTGAATGTAGAGGAAAATGAATTCTGCTTGGCTGGGTATCTAGATGAGTGTCTACGACGGATTTCAGCATTTTGTTTATGTGGCGTCATGCCAGGACTCGCGCACAACGGCGTAAATAAATAGCAGGGTTTCTTTATTGTTTTATTTTGTTTCACTTTTGGTGTTAAAAAGATGTTGTCTTCACTTACAGAAAAAAAAAACCTAGGGGGAGCAGACACTTCCAAGCTCATGCTATATCTTTGAAATCCAACAAAGGAAGATGATGTGAAAATGTAAGACTAAAGAGGTGATTTGCTTTAAAAATAACCCTGATGAGTTTTCAAAACGGGGAACACTCCAAACAGCTGTTGCCCTCAGCGGGTTTATAATCAAGTTGAAGTTGTTATTGCTGCATGATGGACTTTAATGACTTAATAGTCGCTCATGTGTTGTCCATAGTGCCGAAACACCAGGCAGTTAAACAAACTTTTCACGCTTGGTAAAATAACTCGGCTCAAAAATTCCCGAGGGAGTTTAACAGGTAAGCAAGTTTGCAGCCAGTTGAGCAGAACCTGCTAACGCCCACTGATCTGTAAAGATTGTTTACAACGGGACTGGACAATGACCTGTGACCCCTCCGATTTGCCGTTACAAGCCTGTTTGTCTAGATTAATAAATCAGCCTCCAACTTGCAGGACGTCAAACTCCACACAGATCTTAACGCTTTAGTAATTTTACTGTAACAATATTACACAAGGATGTTCAATGAGCTGCTCCACGTTCACAACGCCATGTTTATATTTCCCAGTCAGCGCTATAAAGGTCCGACCGACCGCGTGGGTTCACAAAACCACAGGAGAAATTCAATTTAAATTTGAACACATCACTGATTCAACTTTGACCGTCATATTGACAATAACGGCTAAAGGTGATGAGCTAAATCATTTCAGATGCAGCAGCAAAAGTACAATTTCAATAATGATTCGTCTGTTTTGAAAGCCCATGTTGGCCGGATGCTGGCATCAAGATATACCAAGGTTTTAAAAATGTATATTTTCAAAACAATTTAAAGCCATCTTGCTTTTTCTGCAGTTGCTTCAATGCCCTCCCCCACTTGTTTCTGCCAACCTTTGGACAGATACTCTAAAGAATTTCCTTTTGTCTGTAATTATGAGAACATTTACAGTCAAAACTTGCAAACTTTAGTGTGTGAGAAGCAACAATTATTCCTCCATTAATTTATATGACATTTTGATATGAAATGGAAGAAAAACTCTTGCTTTTCCATTTTAAATTAAAGTGATTCCATCATGTTGTACTTTAGGATATTGTATTGTGGGAACGTTGAGATTCTGGTGATCAAGATAACCAAATTTAGCAGAAAATTTCTACTTTCATGAACCAGACTGTGGAACCATCTTTCCCTGCACCACATTTCCAGACAGCAAATCTGTTTTTTCCCCCTTTATATGTTCATAGCAACAACTTTTTCTAAATGCAGTGTCCATCTGCTGCTGCCCCAAAGGTCAATAATGTGCTTGTCGAGCCATGTGTGCAGCCATTAACACCTACAGCGGCAGCAGTCCAGCCATTATGAAAGCATAAATTCTCCTGACGTCTTGGTGACAAATTGCAATCTTTAGCAAAGCCGGCAACCTTTAAAAGTTGTTGAGCCGAGAACCGGGCAGAGAAAAAGTATAGAACAGGTTTATAAAGTTGTTCCCAAGGTGGGAACACGCAGTACAACCTGTGACATTTCGAAATATGCCTGTTATGTCGTCGAAAATGGGTTTCCAACGGCAACACTGCGACGGTCTTACCTTACTCGAAAAGCAGATTGTTAAAAGGTAAACGTAAAGTTTCTCACCTTAGATGAGGCACATGAACGGGTTGCCCCCTTAGTCCTAATGTTTTATTTAGTCATTGCAACCTGCAGCAATGTCCCTTTCGGTGCTGTGAGCGTATTTTTGGTAATAGGAGGGGCTCACACTGATCTAAAAGTTTCACTTTATGTCGATGATGTCATACGTTTCAATTTAAAGTCCTATTTCTTTCGTCATTACCCATCCAGTCCCATTTTTAGTCCCAAGAGAACTTTTTCTTGTAAAGGAACATTCTCTTGGATTCAAAAGAGTCAAAGTGAAGCTCACCTATCTGGGAATCACAATAACACAAAGTACAAGAGCGTGTGTCATGGCAGACCCTTTTAAATGGTTGAATGTCAAACAGAATAGGAAGTTAGGAAGACATGGAATAATGTTGGAAAAAGTAACGATCCTTAGACTTCTAAAACATGTTCATGCTGCATAAAAACAGAGAAAATAAAGAGAATTATGAGTGATACCTAAATATCTATATTTACTGCCGTTATTCGTTTTATTACTAAAATGAACATATTGCAATATGTTCTGTAGCCCTAAAGCTAAAGTTATCATGTCAGCCCTGAAACGCAACTTTGATTGGATGCAATATCCCAGACAAATAATCATTCATTTATTTATTCTTTATACTTAAATTCTTCTTTGGCTCCACAGATGCTTTAATCTCATTTTACATTTCCAACAGGGCCTGTTGGAAATGTAATTCTGCTTGGCTTTTTGGAATGAGAAACACTAAAAATATAACATCCCTTCCTTAAACTAGTAGTTGCAATCCGAAGAGAGTAGAAGTCTTCATGCAGGGCTGGTGAAGGACCTGGATTTGGTCCAGGACGTTCCTCACGTCCTTCCTCTGCATATCGATAAACCAGTTATTCCAGTGATCTAACATTTCCTCTAGGAGTGGACTGCGGTCGAAAAACATTTAAATTTCTGCATTTTCTCACTTCACACTCCCTTGATGTCCAGCCGATTATTTCCACCTTCTTTCTCAAATCAGATTTACCAGGCTTGGTACGGAGCAGGTGGTGTCCGCTTTAAAAATCTTGTTTGACGAAGCGAGCCAGCCTTCTACAAGCATCCTTTGACGTAGTATTCCCTTCTCAGATCTGACTCTTTTAGAGAAAACCGCTGTCCAGACGTTCCCTTCGATCATTTCCCTTGACGTTTTCAGATACGCAAGTAAGGCACTAACCTAGTTGAGGAGTTTTCACCTAAACCTATCAGGCAAAAGTTTAGACGAGGTACATTCTAGCAACTTGTGTACAGAAACTCAAGCAGTTCTTTTAACCATTCGATCTGCAAGGAATGACTGAAATTTGCCTGATTTTTTTTTTCCTGAAAAAGAACAGCTCTAAAAAACTGACCCTTAATTCTGGAGCTGTTTTTCCTTTACAAATGTGACCAATACTTCTGTTGATATTCCCCTCATGTAAAAAATAAAAAATAAAAAAAACAGTTTTGCAAACTGCTGTTGCCGCGACAAGTCATTAAATGAACACAACCACTTCCTGCTAACCTTTTCTTCATTAGTAACATCCGGTCGTTGGTCACATGTCTGCTGCGGAGCGGAGAAGAAAGTGTTTCCATTGCAGTTTTGCGAAACACACTAATTTCGGCTCAGTCGAAAAACTCTCATTCTATGGAAAAATCTTTTCATCATGAAAAGTGGAGGTTTTTGTTTTAATTGCCATGTTATCCATCGTGGAAAAGCAGTGACTGGTACGTTGTGAGTAAGATGGATATTTTACTTGTGTAGAGTTCGTTGCCATAGTACTGAGATCATCATATTTTGTTTTGGCCTTGAAAACATTAAATTATTCAAAGGTTTCCTGCTACTCTCAGCTTAGACACACTGGCTCTGCCCAGATGAAAGACCCAAACTTACTAAAATCTCAATTTTGAAATGCATCAAGTAGGCTAACAGCTTGTTCCGTAGATTACTGTTCTTGACTAAATGCGATGTTTTGGTAAAAAAAAAAATAAAAATAGCTGCTGATAAAAGATATTTGAAGTTGGTACACAAGAGCCTACCAGGGGATGCGAAATCCTCTTCAAGGATTTACTGATCACTGCTTATCTGCCAGCATCTCGTCGTAATTTACAGTTGTTCTCTAGTACGTCCTGAAGCAGAATAAGAGCATCACAGAATGAGGCTGCCATGGATGCACTCGACTATCGGGACGGCATTAATTAAAAGAAGCACAGTGCCCTGCTTCCGCCGTCCAGACATCTATTGGGGAATTGATCAAAAAAAAATTTCTCAGCTTTGTCAGATCAGAGAAAATTTGCTTCCTTTGGAGTTTCTCGGCAAAATTTGGGAAAAACTTGCGGGAGGCTGTCTAATGCAATTCAGAGAGGAACGCTTCTGAAGAGCCACTCGACCCAAAAGACTTGATTGGTGGCTTTTATTTCCCCCTCATTGTGATGGTTGCACTGTGTTTTCATCCACATAAGAAAGACTGTTGATCAAATTCTCACTCGCCATTTAGTTAGTCCGACCCCAACCAGTTCTACTTCATTTTAAGTCGGTTTCTCTGTGGCTTAAATGTTTAAAGCTGACAGAAAATTTGAAAATATCACTTGATAATTATGTGTTATTGAAAAATTGGAACATTAATACCTGAACACCAACCATAAAAACTTAAAAATCTGTATTTTAAGTTTTCTCCTACATATTATGATGTTTCTAAGTTATTTAAGTGCCCAAAAGTCTGTATTTTCATTATTATTATTATTGTTTTCATTTTAAAAAGACATTTTAAAAAGACTGTAATACACTGTGGGACGTCCTACATGTTTGGGGATGATTGGCAATAATAATGAAAAACAGGATGTAGTGTTTATTGGCTCTAATAGCCTTTATTTGACAGTGAAGTGACATGAAAGAGAGTAATGAGAAAAGTGGAAGGCATGTGGCAAAGGTCGGCACGCTGGGAATCGAACCTGCGATGGCCGAGTCGAGAACTAAGGCCTCCATTCATGGGTTGTGCTTAACCCCTATGCCACCACAGCACCCGCAGATCTAATATTTTTAAGCACCAAGGTGAAAGAGAGACATTTTGGGCAATTGAAACTACACTCTGGATTTTTGGGCAGCTTTTCACAGCGATCAAAAAGCAACAAGACAAAGAGAACAACAAATAAACAAATACATGCCACATACAGATAAGCTGAATGAGTTGTACTCAACCAACAGACCTTTCTCTGAAATGCAAAGTTTCCCTTCCTGTTTTATAGGGTTGCATTTTCAGTTTATTCCCATATCTATTCTGAGGAGATTTAGTTGTCTTTGCAATATTATTTGACCTGTTAGTGATCTACACAAGTTCTGCTTGAACAGTGATTGACTGCTGAGACGAGCACTGTCTTGTCCAGGTTGCTTAGGTCAAAGCCCCCACAAGAACCTGAACAAGATAAACGAGCCCATAGAGCGAATGAAACATCCAGACAAGCTAACAGGGCCCTTCAAAATGTGCGGGAAAGGTCATGTGCACCAAAAATCGCAAAAGAAACAAGGTGAGAAATAAAATTTAGAGTTTTTTACGAGTAGCCTAAAACTATTTGGACAATATTCTCAGTGTGCAGATTTCCCCACCAACATTTTAAATCCAAATTAAGCCCATACCGACCTGGCCAGCGTTGGATGAGTCGCACAAGGCCGTGGAGTATTGCCTGTCGAGCTCGGGAGCGTTGTCATTGAGATCTAACGTCTCTATTCCGACCACAACTCTGGACACCTGGCTGGGATTGTCTGGGAAAGGCAAAGAGCAGAAATAGACATTTTAATGATGCCAACCAAAACACCTACCCATTGACCTGCATTTGGAAAAATTATAGGAACACAAACAAATAGTGAAAAAAAACAACACACACACACACAATTGAGTGTAGGTTTGTGCTTCATTAAGTCCGTGGAATTGTCCTCGTAGGAACAATAAAACATTTTAGTCTTTGTCCAAAAAGCCTCAACAATTCTCAGATCCCATTAGCCAGCAGTCATTTGGCTAAAGGAGCCGTGGTACATTTGGTCTCATTTGGCTCATATTGTGCCTCCCAGGATCCCAGCTGAATGCTTTTATGGCGGTACGATTTCTGCGAATCAAATCGTTCGATTTGGAGCCAACGCTCCTCAAAGTGTCGCCTGCGCGCGCGTCCGTGCTTTTAAGAAAGAGAGACGTCAGGCAGAGAGTCTGGAATCAGTCGGTGTGCGTGCGCGTCACACAAGCGTGCAGTTTAAATGGATTGGCTTTGGCTTTTCCACTCCACAATCACTTGGCCATGCTCGCGCTCGGCCATAAAGTTCCGATGGCAGAGTGTCAAACGTGTAAAGTCCCCTCGCTATTCGCCCGTTTTACATTTTAGCCTCCAAACATCACCGGAACTTTATCTGGGCGGCCAACCCGACGCCACGCTTTCCATAAATGTAAGATGGACACATTTTGAACGTGGAGGAGCAGCGATGCCACAACAAAGCTGAGAACGAGCTGCAGCCGCAATGCCACTGGGTGAGCAGGCCTGCCTGTGGCCATGGCAGAGCTCCCACTGTGTTTGTGTCAACACAACCACCAGCAGTCTGTTTATTAGATAGAGCTCATTATTCAGGACAGGAGCTCGCTGTGCAGCCGCCTCGGCCGTTCCGGCGCTCTCCTGCCACAAGCAGCCCTGAGTAGATTTTAAGCAAAGATTAGCTTTGTCGGGGACGGGACTTGGCAGGAAAGCAACTTTCCTTCATTGCACGCAGTGGGCGGCATTGTTTAACAATGCTCTCTCGCTTGTGCAGAAATAAAAATTAAAAATGGATCGCGTCGTTTGGGGCTTTAATGAATTGCAGACAGCCCCACCAAAAAAAACTAAATAACAAAAACAAAAAGTAATGCTACTGGAACTGAGTCAGGCTTTACCAGCAAGCTGGTGTTGATTCTGAGAATACCAAAAGAAATAAAACAGAAAATAGACTCTTTTTTTCTTTATATTTTTTGTCACTGTCTGTTCAATAACATGTATAGCACGTGCAAAACCGAGTCTGGAACCTGACAGCAAGGATGATTGCCAGCGCTATAGTACTACTGAGTGACTAATAAGATGATTCATCTCCCTGTTTTTGTGATCCCCCCCACACTGTTGGCAGATGAGAAAAAGTTTGGATTTGATAAGGCATAAAAGCGATGTTTGGTTTAGAAGAGGAGCTGTCTTTAACGTCAAAATGAGGTGCTATTATCTCGCTCCATTGCTCCCATTTTCTCGGCCGAGGCTTTTTTTTTCCCTTTCTTTTTTGCTAGTTAGATTTCACAGAGATAATCTAAAAAGCTAACAAGGTGAGGTGAGCTCGAACAGGAACAGTGTTTTATTTGAATTAGCAGCCACGGCTTTTCGCTGCCAGATAATGACGATGGTGACGCAGTGCTGCTGCCAGACTTTCGCTGTGGTTTGGAACATCCAACAGATGCACATTCCAGTGAAATTACCTGTGGTGAATGAGAAACAAAGTCGATACAACGTGGTCTAGCTTTCCACTTCTTGTGTTGGAGAAATAACTTCCTTTTCATACAACCATTCAGCCTTTATGCCTTGTCCTCCTTTTCTACGTCGTGATAAACACAAATCTTGTGATTTAATTGTCAAAGTTCATGTTGGAGAACATCAGAGAGCAAACCTACCAAAATTAAGCCAACCGGCCAGGAAAGCACAGCATTAGTTAGAGAGTGACTCTGGAGGAGCTGCAGAGATTCACAGCTCTGGTGGCAAAATGCGTTGGTTAGATAGCATTCGTCGTACGCTCAAATATATTCTTAGGATAATTAGATGATATTCATAAAGCCATTCCACATATTTTCTGGTGCAGTTATATTAAAGAAGAAAAAATATATATAATTTTTAGTTTTAGAACAAAGCCAAATGTACAAATTGTGAAAGAAGACAAAAGCCACCATTTTCTTAAAGGAACATTTGAATTTTTTTTTTCTTTTTTTGAAGCAACAGGTAGTTTTCAGTTTCAAGCAACAGCATGTGAGTTTTATAAAAATATGTCTTTCGGAATGAGCAAATACGCTAGTTTCTAAGGCGAAGTGAACACAAATGCAAGCCACACTTTTTAGTTATCATTTGTACAAAATGTTGAAACAAATGTAGAATTTTCCGTCCGTTTTATTGATAAGCACAACTCAGTGTTGGTCCACCACAGCAAATCCCAGTGGCGTAACATTAAAGTCCGATATGAAAACATAAACGAATGTGAAAAGTCTGTAGGGTGGGAATACTTTTGTTATGCGCAGAAGTTCCTCTTTTTTTATAAAATTTTGCCTTCTTTACGCTTTTGCACAGAGAATTCGAAACCGCATGCATGACTTTGCAGCATATTAATGCACTGTTTGGCTTTCAGGAGACGTGTGTGTTGGCACTAGGTGGTACAACACAAATTACTCGAAAGGCTCTACGTCGGCACTTATTGCTTTCTTAAAACAAATCACTCGAAAACATCCATTTAGAAAATTACCTTTCATGCATGATTGTAAGCTCCACAACATCGACTTCTGATGTCTGTTTTTTTGTTGTTGTTGTTGTTATTTGTTTTGTTTTTCTTCGCTGGAGTACAACCTGCGGTGTGCCAGACTCTTTTTCTATAACTTGCTTTGACTCCGTAGGTATTTATCATTCCCATTTTGCAATCACAATGTGCCAGGAAAGCAATGCTTGTCTTTAATTTGTTGCTTTAACGCGGCGAGTTAGCTCATATTCCTGTGGGGAAGGGATCTGTGGCGGCGGCGGATAACTGACGCCGTATAGATCTACTGATTTTCAGGCACGCTGTAACAAATCGGTCTTGCGGCCAAACAGCATCCCCCTCAAGGCTCGATGACTTGAAGTCTAAGCCGCTTAGCGAGCGGCTAGTCACAAAGGGTACCAGGCTTTTCAGACATTGTACCACATTGAGTTTTACTCCGCTAAACCTCTTAGCCGTCATTGGGTCCAGGTGTCAGGGTTTAAAAGAAATTATGATTTCGGTAGAAGAAATAACCCAGAAAGAAGAAGAAGAAAAAACGAAAAGGCTCTAATGACGCAGCAATGTGACCTCTGACCTCTCTGGGTGGCGATGACGGTGATGTTGTGCCAGTGCTCCCGCTCGCGGTCCAGCTCCATCGCCGTGGTGATGAGGCCGGTCTCTGGGCTGATATGAAACAGGGCCTCCGGATCCGACTGAGGGTCTATTGAGAATCTGAAGCGGAGAGAGAGAGAGAGAAAGAAACAGAGGAAAAAGTTATCAAAAGAAAGGTGAGGGAGATGAGGAGGGGTAAAATGAATAAATAAATAAAGTGACCCAGCAAAAGGAAGGATGCGAATGGAGTTGGCAGCGGGGAACGGAGTGAAAGAAGCGGCGGGGGCAAGTGTGTGAAGGAGCGATAAGGGGGACGGCATTCAAATGGCCAAAGAATTAATATGGGGAGATTATCGTGGCAGATTGGGGCTTTTTTATTTTTATTTTTGAAGTGAAAAGAATTATCAAAAGATCTCCAGCAATATACCAGCTATCATTCTTCCCCACGTCTTCACTCCTAGTGCTTTTGCGTTTAATTGGGACATGGGTTTTTTTTTTTTAGTTGATTTGATTCTTTTTTTTTCTATTTTTTTTCCATTTCTCTCAACTTCTTGAAACTTCTGAAGTCAGGATCTCCCACAAATGAAAGTTAAAGCACAGAACCTTTTCACATAGTTCAGTTGATTTACATATAGAAAGTGCACCTGGCTTATGTGATTACCAAACTGTTTTGTGGATGAATGTATTGACTGCAGTATTGATGCCATTACCTTTGAGAACTCTCCTCGTTTTCTTTCTCAGAGAAAGTGCACCAAATCCAGTGCTTCTGATAAAGTTGCCATTATGATTGCCATTGTGTAATTTCCTTGCCTTTCTTTCTGTGGTATTAAAGCCTCGTTAGAACCAAGGAACAAAAGCTGTGGATAATTTTGAAGGTAAAAAAAACATTTCACCATGTTGTGAGCAACTCTTGGAGCATTGTTGTCTAGTGAGTATGTTATTTTTAGGTAAACTTAACCAATGATATTATTAGTCAGGTCAGTTGTCAGAAGATGCAAGTAAATCTCTGAGAGATGGGATATTTAAGAAAAAAAACACAGATTAACTTTTAATCAGAATTTAGTTTTTGGGAAAAAATGAAAGTTATGTATGAGTAGCCTCATCAAGGCCTGTTTCGTGCCTGTGACATATTCTTAAGAAATACATGTACAGATGAGGAACATTTACTTGAATGTATCACACTAGTGTCAGAATAAAAAGTTAAGCTCTGACAGATTTAGTTTTTTGAATGGATGAAGGAAATCACAAACTTGTAGTCAGCACTGACTAGTCGTGCTACCAGTTAAACTGTAGGTTTTCTTTAGATGTTTGTGTTTAGAGGTATGTTTCTCTCTTATGCAAAGGCAGGGGCTTTTTTTCTCACAACAAAAACACACACACACACACACACACACACACACAATTGTTGTGCTGAGCAGGCCAGGGGTCACTCACCCATCTCCCCTTCATGTATCAGGAAGACAATCTATTTAAAACTGGAGGTATTACAACATTTACATTTATCTAGGTATAGTATACACTATATACTATTCTTGGTTATTCTAACACTTATTGCTTTTCATACTTAATTGTATTCTTCTTAAAACTCATAGAGGTGAGAAGGAGTTACGAAAAATAGTGTCACAAAGATGGGATTAACAGATGTCAAAATAATCTTTTTTTTTTAAGGAGAGGCTGAGAGGAAGGCACCCAGTCACCAGAACTTGAAACCAATTAATTATTAAGGTCATAAATCACTTTATTGGTTAAATGTTGGCATAAAGGTGTCTATATAGTCTCTCACAATAAATAAAAGGTCATTTCATAGTCGCTAAGGAATGTGGATGAATGGGAAAGATTGATTGTTTTCACAGATTATCTGACATGGTGACGGCTTTAACAAATATGGAGAAAACATATTTTTTTTATTAAAGTTATTTACTGCAGCTTGAATAAAATGCAACAACAGAGACATTTTTGAGAAGTTTGGATTGCTTCATGTATATTTTGCATCTTGCCTATGACTGTTGTTCGTGACGTTTCAGTATCTAAAACTAATAGCAAAAAGTTAAGCAACCTACTTGCATACTGTATGATCACTGTTGTATGTTAAATTCATTGTGCTAATATCAGTATTGAACCAAAGAAAGCAAGGCAGTTGCAAACCTTTAAAATTGTGACACTTTTGTTGGGTCAGATAGACTCAAAAAAAAAAAAATGCAACAGCCTGGGGGGGGGCCCAATTAAATTTTTTGTTGGGGGGCCCAAGACTCCTGGCAGCACCCCTGCCTACAAATATTAATCGAGAAAAAAACTGGACGGTTTTGTTTCTCAAAAACAAAGCCAAACATCACGAGCAGTTCATTTAGACGCCTTATGCCTTACCTGATATTATTAGTCAGACCGGTGTCGGGGTCGACGGCGCTGACCCGGCCCACGGTGCAGGCAGGTGGGCAGTTCTCGGACACGTCCATGTGGTATTTGGATCGGGAGAACCTCGGGGGCTCATCAGCGTCTAGCACAGCCACTCGGATCGAAGCTCTGTCTTTGAAGGGGCCCCGGCGTAGAAAGCGAGGATCCACTATGGGGTTCAGGACCTCCACTGAGAAGGAGTAGGAACTCCGGCTCTCATAGTCCACAGGCTGGGACGAGAGCAACAACAACAACAAAAAACGGTTGGAAAAATGCCCAGATAAAAAGATTCATTTATTTATTTATTTTTGTAGCAAGAAAGGTCGTAAATACCAATGTTTTAAACATCAGATCCAACAGTCTGCACTTCCATCTGAACTAATTCTCACACCAAATTATCCGTGGACGGCTGCTGAATTACATATCAAAATCCGCGAGACGGCACATAATGAACGGCGTATCAGCACATCAGAGAGGGAGAGTGGCCACGTCCAGAATCGGCTCGGAACAATTTGGAGGGAAATAATCTCACGGTTACCCTCCATGTTGTGACATTTGGATTTCTAAAGAGGCTTCTTTGAAGGTTGTTGTGGGCGGGCGGCTGCTCAGATGGTAATTTTTCTGTGTGTGTGTGTGAAGTGAGAAAACGCATTCACGAGGCGGCGATGCTACGGCATCGCCAATGAGATCCCTGACACTCAAAAGTTGAAAAGCCTCTTCAGAACTCAGCCACTGATGTGACTGCGTGTTTGCATGTCGCTCCGAGTTGATGTTTGGATATTTCTTGACACGCTGAGACTAGAGAACGTACAGCTGAGGAAAAGAAGCTGCGTGCATTTGTGGGAGTTGAGAGATTAGCAGCGCTGCACAGAGCAGCCAATCCAGTTTTGTCTCTTTTTTTAGCTTTAGCATTGTTTCCTTCCCACTGCGCTGGCAAAAACTCCTCCGTGTGTTGGTGTGAACTGGTCGGAGCTGCTTCCTTATGCATCTGCATTCACACTCATTTGCTCTGACGCCCCTAAATGAAATCACTTTTAAGCAACTCTATGTGTAAGCCCGTAACAAGTCATTAATCTAATTTTAAATTTTAATTAGCTCAATCCTCTCAGCTCTATTAGTTTTTTGAAATGCAATTTTACTCACAGCCACTTCATAATCCATATTAGTTATTGCTTTGGTTGTGAGTGGTTTTTAATTCTGTTCTACTTATTGGTTTTTGATTTTGGATATTTAAAATATCATTCAGTTGCATTAAGTGCTTTTTTTAAGAATTAAAGTTTAAGAGGGCAAACGTTCAATACATGACCTGAAAATGGTCGCGATAAAAACAATATTATCATTTATCGCAATCGTTTCTGGGGCGATTTATTGTCCAGCGAAATTTGCTATTGCCATGGGTTCAGGCACTTTGTGCCTGATTTAATCACAAAGTTCTATAATCTTAGAGACTCTATAACAAAGCTCTTTTGTGAAGTTTTAAGATTTAACTTGTAAGGCCACATTTTCAGGTTTTCAAAATAAATGTCACGTGTGGAGGGAAACTAAAGCTGCACCCCTTCCTGAGCACGCCATCACAACTTCCCCACGGACTGTAAATCTGGTTCATCAAGAACTAAATAAAGACCAATTACGACCAAAGACAACTGAGAAGTTGCAAAACATTTCAGAATGGAATAGTTTTCCCATTGGCTTAAATCCAACAATAACATCTAGTATCGATCCATCCAGTATTGGCAATGCAGTCCAAGAGCTTCTTTAATATTCAGTCACTGATGCGACCACATACTTAGTAGCTTATGTTTTGGATATTTTTGACTCGTCTGTGAGTAGCAGCAGCACAGTGGAACCACATTTTATCCACATTTTCCTTTGTGGAGGTTTCAGCCTCTTGTCTGCTCCTGCAGTATTGCCAAAATCTCTGAGATATGTCGTTGCATTTAAAACAAAACAACGAAACACAAAAAGACAAGTTACAAAAGTGTTGGTAGGGTTCGTTTCAGAGGTAAAACTTAAGTTGCACTTTTTGCAGAACTGCAAAGCGTCTGTTGTGCAGATGTTACGTCGGCAGATCATTTCCATAAACATTAGAGCTTCCGATGATGAAAGCGCAAACGAAAGCATCCCATCCTGTTTTTCACAAACAACGCTTCCCTAGTTTAGCAGACAATCTCCATCACCATGGAGACTCCACCATCACCATGGAGACTTGTACCTGGATATAAGGAGCATTATAAATTCCCTTGTATACTTGCATCTTTGCAGGTGTAAGAGATTTCATTTGGGATTGAGGCTCAGGCAGAGAAGTTATGAAGCCTGTTTTTTCTACTTCTATTTTTTTTTTTTCTATTTCTTTCCCGTTTTTTTTTTTTTTCTCTGTGTGATTGTGCGCCGCTCTCCTGCCAGCACGCCGGCTCTGAAGCGAAGAGACAGCCTCTGATCTGGTTCGTCGAGATGATTGTTAGCGAGGGGACGGGCACGCACGAGTAATCACACACATCTAGTGTCTCCCACTGTCATGCACCTGCTGCTGATTAAATTTTAGAAAAGCAACACGTTCTGAGTCTGGTTCAGAATATCTGTTTGAAGGACGAGTGGGCGTACAAGTGCTTCTTTTGAGCCTGTGTCTTTGGCTCAAAATGTGTCTTTAAGGGAAGCAATGTATGTGACTCGTCTCGGCTGGATTGGCTGAAAAGAAAAATTCATAAATAAATCATGTTGGATGAATTACAAAAGGGACTTCGGGTGGAATTTCCGCTGTCAGCAAAACAGAGAAAGGAAAAAATAAAATCACTCATGTGATCCAATCAGAAGAATAAGTATTGATATTCTCTCCTTCTGTGTTAATTTTTTGCCCCCGCCGCCCCCGTTCCGAGCTGTGAAGAAGTGCAAAAAAAAAAAGCATTAAATTTGAGGTTTCAGACAGAAATCGGGATTGATTAAAAATCATGCAGAAAAATAAGAGGGAGTAGAAAGACGGCGCAGTGGAGGCAATTTGCAGAGCTTCTCCGAGGCAAAAAAAACAAACAAACCCAAAAGCAAAACAAACAACAACAACCAACAAAAAGGGCTGCCACGGAAGACAGAGAGACGGAGATCATGATGGAGTGGATGTGTGGAAGGAGGGTAGATGGAGGGAAAATGCGCTCTAACGGGGCCCACATTACTGGGAGAACGAGACAATCTGTCTAAGGAGGAGAGGTGTCACTTACACTGCGAGCGCACACTCATCAACCCCCTCCCTCCATCCAGCTCCATCACTCCGCCGCCGCTCCGTCACCACCTCACACACTCCATCACCTATTCCCCGATCAACCAACTCTAATCTTTTTTCTTCTCCTTCCCTGCAGACTCTGTGTGTGTAAGTGTGTGTGTGTGTGTGCGCGCGTGTCAAACCACAGCACACACATTCTCCTACCCCCATGGGCCCCAACATGAATCAGTTACCATGCAGGCGCTGCAACAGTTATTCTGGTGTGCTATGGGTTTATCCACCGCGAGCTCGTGTGAGGTTTACATCCATCCAACCATGTATGTCTGATTCAATCTCCCAAAAGCTTACACTTTATTGAAGCAGCACATTCTCTGTCTAGTCTTTAAAGGTGGCCTATTATGGTTCCTCGAACAGGTTAGGCTAGCTCTAACAAAACATGTTTATTAGATTATTTTGCACAAAACCATTCTTGGATAATGAGTCCGGTCAGTTTGCCGTGTTTTCAGCTCGGTTTTAGATCCTCTTGTCACTTTAATTAATTAAAATGAAATGAGCTGCTGCTGGCCACCGCAATTGTACGACAATACATCTTTGAAGAGCAGAAGTGGAGCCTCCTGCACAACCAACAGGAATGCAGCGAGTGGTGTCTGGACGGTAAGTCGACAACAACACACTTGTCTTTCCCAGCAGCCGTTGTGCAATGCATACAGCGGTAAAACCGAACGTCATTGAAGCGTCACCTGGGTTGCTAACAGAAATAGCATCCTGCATACTAAGACTTTAACTCGGTAAACGGCACTGAATGCAAATTTTCTTTGTTATAATAAGAAAATGTGAAAAGAACACTCAGATCACTTTCCTTTAACGTCACAATTATGCATCACTTTATCACACCGAATTTCTCCCAAACGCAGTGACGGTCGAGGCTGCAAAGAGACCAAATGTGGGAAAGTTCCAGGAGCTTGAAAACTTTTGCAAGACACTGTACGAGAAGTCTGGGTAAGCTGGGGTCTTTTCAGGATTTGGTGCTGTAAGAACAAAACACACACATGAAAGCCAGAGCATCCCCGAGGCTGCGGGCGGAGAGCTCTCTCTTACGACCTGAAATTGGCAGCAGGAATGCAGACTTCATTAACCCTCAGATCTCCACCTTCACCCAAGGCTAAGGCAGTGATTTAGAGGAATATTAAATTCTTAATATTAATTTAACACTGATGTGGAAGAGGAAGTGCAGAATGAGAAAGCAGGAAGGCATCTGTTAGCATCTTAGAAGGTTAAAAAAATAAATTTGACTGAAGACTTTCCACAGAAGGAACGATTGAGGGGAGGAATAAAAGAAAATACATAAATCAACAAAAGCTGACTTTTTCATATTTCTGATCGGTTTCCCAGGGATTTATGCACAATCTGTATAAATATACCAACAAGTATTCTATAGCAGCTAACAACCCTTGAGGAAAAAAAAAAACCCAGCAGGGATTGTTAAAATTGGTAAACACGACATTCTAACTTCGCTATTCTCGCCTGATTCAACCAGCGGGGGAGCGAGTAAGAGCGCTCCTCAAGCTGCCGCGGCAGAGCTGGTTAGGGCTCAAACGAGCAGAGGGAGCAGCGACGAATCAGGAAAATAAACACATTATTTCCTCATTATTTTAATACTCGCCACCTTTTCACAGCGACAATAGCGCACGCTCCTCCACAAAGGCACGACTCCTTGTGTGAAGTGTGCAAAGCGCGACGCAAAAAAGAGCGGCAAGCTCGTCCGTCTCACTAGACCCGTCGCTTTCGGCAGGCGACACAAACAGGTGAGTGTGAACGGTGACCGAACGTCTTCCAAAACAGGAAAATATTTGCTCAAACTCACGTCGAACTCAGCTTAACGCTGGCTGGCGGCTGGTGAAAACAAGAGCTCCAGCTGCAGCATTCAGCACAATTTGTTTTTAACAGCGGCATAAGGAAACACGTTTAAATTACAAATTTAAACGGCGCCAAATTTGCGATCAAATTTCAGTCAGGTGA